AGAGAGAGATTGATTGATTTGTGGTTCCACTTATTGATTCACCATTGGTTGATTCTTGTATGTGCCCTGACCAGGGATCAAACCTACAACCTTGGCATATGTTCTAACCAACTGAGATACCCAGCCAGGGCCTTTTTTGTCCATTTTAAACTGCTTGTTCTTTTTATCTCTTTAGCAAACGTGCATTATCTGAATTTTCCCCCCCTGCAAGTCTCTGATGCTCTCTGCTAACTAGTTGATGGACCCTTTTGAAAAGTTTGATCCTTAAGCAACTTCAGCTAAGTGGTTGCAAACTTCAGTCAGGATATTACTGACTCCACTTTACAAATGAAACCAAATATTCTTCTGTATGATGAAACCAATCTTAGGGAAAATAAAAAAAAAAAGAAATCGGTGAGGAAATGAGTTAGAGAAAGGGGAAGTAGAGGAGATTTCCACCTGTGCCCCTGAGAGAGTTTGTCCTGTTAACCAAGTCCTGGTGTTTTTGCATTACCAAGGTTACTGGGTCACCTTCCAGGGAACTGATAAAGCAAGAGAACTCCTCACAGCATGTTTTATCATTCAGATTCCATTACAGTATCTCAGTGTGTCTCTCATAACAATTCCCAATATTCAGCAAACTTGCTTTGTCTACTTTTCCTTCCTTGTACATTTTACTACAAATTTTTTTACTTCAAAAGAATGATGCCTTTAGGATTTCCAGCCAAGGTGGAGGCATAGGCAGATACACTGTCTCCTCGCACAACCAAAAGGACAACAAAATTTAAAAATAAAAAAATGAGAACTGCCAAAAAATCAAAATGTATGGAGTCCGACAAACCAAGAAGTTAAAGAAGAAACATTCATCCAGACCAGTAGGAAGGGCAGAGATGAGCAGCCAGGTGAAGAGGACTCATGGCCAGGTGGAGGCTAAAGGACTGGGGTGGGTGAGGTGATGGCTGGCAGAGTGGGCAGTCCCACATTTGTGTGTGGATAAACCAGGAGGAACAACTGGGGAGTGAGAGAGACCGCTCAACCCAGGGCTCCAGTGTGGCAAAATAAAACCTCAAACCTCTGATTGAAAACACCTGTGGGGGTTGAGAAACTCCCAGCCTCACAGGAAAGTTCATTGGAGAGACCCACAGGGTCCTAGAACGTGCACAAACCCACCCACCTGGGGATCAGCACCAGAAGGGCCCAATTTGTTTCTGGGTAGCAGGAGAAGTGACCGAAAACTGGCAGAGAGCTGAACAAGCAGCATTGTTACCTCTCAGACCCCTCCCCTACCTACAGTGCCACAATGCAGCAAACTGGGTTGCCCCCAGATGGTGAATACCTAAGCCTCTGCCCCTTACTGTGTAACAGGCAAGCTAGACAAAAAATATATATATATGGCCCAAATGAAAGCACAGATCAAAGTTCCAGAAGAAATACAACTAAGTGGCAAACTGATAGCCAACCTGTCAGATGCACAGTTCAAAACAATGGCAATCAGGATGCTCACAGAATTGGTTGAGTATGGTTGCAAAATAAAGAAAAAAGTGAAGGCTATGAAAAGTGAAATAAAAGAAAATGTACAGGGAACCAACAGTGACAGGAAGGAAACCAGGACTCAAATCAACGATTTGGACCAGAAGGAAGAAATAAACATTTAACCAGAACAGAATGAAGAAACGAGAATTCAGAAAAATGAGGTGAGGCTTCAGAGTCTCTAGGACAGCTTTAAATGTTCCAACATCCAAATCAAAAGGGTGGAGGAGAAGGAGAAGAGGAAGAGCAAGAAATCAAAAACTTATTTGAACAAATAATGAAGGAGAACTTCCCCAATCTGGCGAAGGAAATAGATTTCCAGGAAGTCCAGAAAGCTCAGAGAGTCCCAAAGAAGTTGGACCAAAGGAAGCACACAACAAGGCACATCATAATTACATTACTCAAGATTAAACATAAGGAGGGAGTCTGAAAAGCAGCAAGAGAAAGGGAGACAGTTACCTACAAAGGAGTTCCCATGAGACTACCAGCTGATTTCTCAAAAGAAAACTTACAGGCAAGAAGGGGCTGGAAAGAAGTATTGAAAGTCATGAAAGACAAGGACCTACATCCAAAATGACTCTATCCAGCAAAGCTACCATTTAGAATGGAAGGGCAGATAAACTGCTTCCCAGACAAGGTCCAATTAAAGGAGTTCATCATCAGCAAGTCCTTATTATATGAAATGTTAAAAGGACTTATCTAAGGCAAAGAAAAAGATCAAAACTATGAACAGTAAAATGACAACAAACTCACAACCATCAACAACTGAACCTAAAAAAAAACAATAACAACAACGACAAAAACTAAGCAAACAAATAGAACAGGAACAGAATCACAAAAATAGAGATCACATGCAGGGTTATCAGCGGGGAAGGGTTGGGGGAATGGGGGAAAAGGTATAGGGAATAAATAGCATAAATGGTAGGTAGAAAGTAGAGAGGAAGAGACTAAGAATAGTAAAGGGAATGTAGACGCCAAAGAACTTATATGTACGGCCCATCAACATGAAATAAGAGGGGGGAGGAATGCGTGTGTGAGGGGGTATGCAGAGCAGAGGTGAATAAAGGGGGGGAGGAAATGGGATAAGTGTAATAGCATAGTCAATAAAATATATTTTTCTATGTTCTCTTTTTTCAGATTTTATTTATTTATTTTTAGAGAGGGAAGGGAGAGAGAGAGAGAGAGAGAAACATCAATGTGCGGTTGCTGGGGGTTATGGCCTGCAACCCAGGCATGTACCCTGGCTGGGAATCGAACCTGCGACACTTTGGTTCACGGCCCGCGCTCAATCCACTGAGCTACGCCAGCCAGGGCTAGTCAGTAAAATATATTTTTATAAAATGATACCTTTAGACCTGCTTCAGAGCCAATGATAATATTTGCTTTAGATAATTATTACAGTATTCTAAATAGAATCATATTATTTTGAATTTATATACATTTCTCTGTTGATAAAAAATAAAATAAATACATTGGCCAACACCAAAGGTTAACAAGGGCATTTTCCCTCCTTACGCTAGAAATTTAACAATGGGGGGGGGAGGAATGATGCACTTACCTTACCTCTTTTAATAGGAGCTGAATTTTAGAATAACCAAGGAGTCATACTTGGTGAGGGAAAGTTTTTCTTTACTGAAGCCTCCCAGCGAATAAATCTGGCAAGAATGTTCGAGTTAGATGGTAACCAACTGCTTGTAACCCTCGGCGCAATAATTGATTCAAACAAGGAACGTCATTCAGTAGATGGTCAGTGAGGCGGAAGTTGAGTCAAAGTTACAAGAGGGAGTGGCCTGTCCCCTCCTACGTGTACCTGTCCATCTTAGGGTCGCTAAAAAGAACGATTACCATTTGTCATCAGTATAATGCCCTTCCATACAAGGCACCAACTTTGAAATACTCTTCCTCAAAGCGCTGACCCAGAATCTCATCCAACCTCCAGAGGTAGTAAGTTTAAAGACAGGACAATTGAATGACTGTGTTCTGTAAAGCAGGGGTTTTTTTTTTCCTTTTTTAAAAAAATTGTTGTTCAAGTACAGTTGTCTCCATTTTCCCACCATCATTTCTTTTCTTTTTATTTTGTTTACAAAAAAAAGAGTGTAGTGGGGGGAGTGCTTTAAATAAAGACTTAAGAGGCTGTGTTCTGTGAAAAAATAATAAAACTGTGGAATTCCTTTCGAGGCATTTAAGAATTGTGGTAAGAATTTGATGATAACTAGAAATAACTGTTACTTTTTAAGTTATAATATGGTTATGCAAGGAAATGTCCATTTTTTTAGATAATAATATTTAAATGTATAGGAATGAAGAAACCTGACATCTGGGGTTTGCTTGAAAGTCCTTTGGAGAAGCCTGGCTGGCATAGCTCACTGGATTGAGCACGGGCTGTGAACCAAAGTGTCACAGGTTCGATTCCCAGTCAGGGCACATGCCTGGGTTGCAAGCCACAGCCCCCAACAACCACACATGGATGTTTCTCTCTCTCTCTCTCTTTCTCCCTCCCTTCCCTCTCTAAGAATAAATAAATAAAATCTAAAAAAAAAAGAAAGAACGTCCGTTGGAGAGCCCTGGCCGGTGTGGCTCAGTTGGTTGGGCATTATCCTGCGAACCTACAGGTCACAGGTTCAATTCCAAGTCAGGGTACATGCCTGGGTTGCAGGTTTGGTCCCCAGTCAGGGCGTCTACAGAATGCAACCCATCCATGTTTCTCTCTCACATCGATGTTTCTCTCTCTCCCTCTTGCTGTCTCTAAAGTCTACAATAAAATATTGAAAACATAAAGTCTTTTGGAAATAGAAAAATAGAGGGTCTGGCACAAATAATGCCCCTCTTATCATAAAATCTTGTATTACAAAATGATGAGCCTGTAATTCTGTAACATAACAATATTGCACCAAGCATACCCTATGACATTTTAGGTGAAATATTGAAATAAAAACGATAAATTGTGACACCCATATCATTACCCTAACCAGCACACTCAGGCAGCCTTACTTTCTGCCCGGACCCTGCAGATTCAGAGGGGAAGAAAGCAGAGAGAAAGGTGATAGGGCAGAATCTTGGTAATTGTTGGGTCTGGCAGTGGGCGTGGGAGACATTGCTTATACTACTGCACTTCTGCACACTCGGAAAAAGTTCTGAGATAGAGGTTACTAATAACTAGCAGATAGGTGCCACAGGAAATAAGGCCTGTCGTTTTTAGCCAAAGCGTAAAAGACGTGAGGTTCTCAGAAACTCTTACTATTCACTCAGCAGGAATTAAAATTCGGACTCAGTAAGACAGGTGGGCAGCTGGTCTTTGGGGACTTTTTTATATATTTTTTTTTAATGAAAGGGCCTTAAGTAATCAATGCGTGAGCCCCGTGCGCACAGAGCCAAGGGACACTTGGCCCCCGTTTCCAGACCTTGGAAACTGTTTGCATAGAGCACCCTGGTCACACTCCCCGTACACACCCGGTCGTCTCGCAGTTGCAGAGCCGGCGCGACCAGGAATCTCATATCTCCGTCACGACGGGATGCACTTGGCTCTCGGGGGGCACTTTGTAAAAGAAGGCGAGCAGGCCGCTCAGCAGCATCATGAGGGCGGCCAGGACCGCCACGCCACAGGCGTTCCCCACGTCCTGGGCCTTCGGCTGGAAGGGCAAGGCGAAGGAGGGCGGGAAGGCGATGCCCGCCGCCCTGGTCACGGAGCAGTAGTTGCAGACCACGGCCACGGAGATGCAGGTGCCCGCAGTGACCTTCAGAGCGCCCGCGGCAAGAAAGAAGTTCTGGGCGGCGCCCGAGTGCAGGCTGCCCACGAAGACGTGCCGCAGCCCCAGCACGAGCAGCGCTTTGCCCACGAGCCCCAGGAGGCTGGCGGCCAGCAGGAGGTTCTGAGCCGCGCGGATGTCCGGGGGCGGGTAGGCGTCCGTGTAGCGGTACAGGTGGCAGGTGATTCTCTTGGAGTAGCCGCTGGGGCGGTAAATGCAGACTTTCCACATCCCCACGCAGGCCAGGCCCACGGGGAGAACGGGCGTGTGCTCCACGTGCCACACCCGCCACTCGGCCAGGCCCATGGACATGATGCAGAATATGCAGCCCAGGGTGCCGACGGCGAAGCCCGCCACTGGGCGGTGGGCACTCTGCACCAGCAAGCTCATGCTGACCACGTCTCCCAGGGGAACTGCGAAGCAAGCAATGGAAGGCATCGTGAGTGTGGGGCCCGCAGGCCCGGGACAGCCCCTCGCAAGAGCCAGCTTGGGTCTGGCCCTTCTGACTTTGCGCTCAAGGTTCACCCACGCTGCGGAGTCGTGTTCAGGTGTACGGGTGCACCACAGTTCGTTCAGGCGCTCCTCAGTTGTGCGGACGCTCGGACCGGGTCTACGCCTCGGCACTTACCAGTCACGCTGCGATGAACACTGGCGCCTAAGACCTTGTGCGAGCATACACGTTCTCATCTGTTGCGAGTGGCTACCCGGGAGTGACACGTGGGGGTCATACCGTGCGTGTTTAACCCTGAACAAAGTGGTAATAAAGCTGTTTCTCCAAGCAGCTGCCCCTTGGAGATGATGGTAGGAACTGCCCATCGGGAGATTTCTACATTCCCCGCCCCCCCCACCCCCCAGCTATGTGCGACGGTTACATTTTCTCATAGCTTCTCCATTATTGGACCGTTTTAGTCCTTTTGATTATGGCCATTCTTTCCGGTCATTAAAACATAATGTGACCAGCACCCGCTGGTGTGACTCAGTGGATTGAGCATTGGCCTATGAATCAAAAGGTCACCGGTTTGATTCCCAGTCAGGGCACATGCCTGGGTTGCAGGCTGGGCAGTTGGGGGCGTGTGAGAGGCAACCAACCAAAGTATCTCTCACACATGGATGTTTCTCTCGCTCTCTCCCTCCCTTCCCCTCTCTCGAGAAATAAATAAATAAAATCTTTTTAAAAAAAAATCATCAGCCCTGGCTGGCATAGCTCAGTGGATTGAGCACGGGCTGTGAACCAAAGTGTCGCAGGTTCAATTCCCAGTCAGGGCACATGCCTGGATTGCAGGCCACGGCCCCCAGCAACTGCACATTGATGTTTCTCTCTCTCTCTCTCTTTCTCCCTCCCTTCCCCTCTCTAAAAATAAATAAATAAAATCTTTTAAAAAATCATCATATGACCGAAAGGAAGATGTTCAAAATATACCAAGTACAAGCGGCATGTTGCAAACTCATGTGTGCAGTAGGATTGTGGATATGAACAGAATGGAAGTCTTTGTGCTGAGTTACAAAGACATTTTAACTGGGCTACAGGGATGATGTGTTTTTCCAGCTGTTTGCATTGTGAGCAATGGCACACATAAAGAAAAGCACACAAAATCTAAGTGTACAACAAAAATGCACATTGCCACGACTCAGCTTCAGAGATAAGATATCACCTCGTCCCTATTTGTCATTAGTTCTTCCCCTCAGCATGTGTCCCCAAACACCTTGGTTCAGTTCTGCCTGATTTTCAAGACAGGAAGCATGCCGTAGGCACTCCAGTATGACTAGTTTCCTGCAGTCAACACGGGGTTCATGACAGCAGATTATGACTTTTTTTAAGTAATGTGTGGCTGTGCAATACTTTCAGATATTTGTCATGACCGTAATTTTTTTTTGAATTAAAAAGAAAGAAACTTGTGAAGTAATGGAGCATTAATTCTGGCACATAAATACACTGCAATACCTGGTAGGTATTAAAGTCATTCATTCAGACTTCTGGCCAAGAGGGAGGCATAAGTAGATACACTTTGCCTCCTCACACAACGAAAAGAAGGACAACAGAACATTTGAAAACAAAAAATAACCAGAACTGCCAGAAAATCAAACTGTACAGAAGTCTGACCACTGTGGAGTAAAAGAAACACTCATCCAGCCTGGTAGGAGGGGCAGACATGGGCAGCCAGGGTGGAGGGGACATGTGGGAAGACAGGGACAGGAGGACTGGGTGAGCCAGCAGTGGCTGGTGGAGCAGGCAGTCCCACCATTGCATGTGGATAAACCAGGAGAAACAACTGAGGAGCGAGACAGACTGTGCAACCCAGGGTTCCAAGGCAGGGAAATAAAGCCTCAAAACCTCCAACTGAAAACACCTGTGGGGTTTGCAGTGGTGGGAGAAATTCCCAGCCTCACAGGAGAGTTCCCTGGAGAGACCCACAGGGTCCTAGAACATACACAAACCCACCCACCTGGGAATCCGCACCAGAAGGGCCCAATTTGCTTGTGGGTAGTGGGGCAAGTGACTGAAAGTGGAGTGAGAGCCAAGCAAGTGGAATTGTTCCCTCTCGGACCCTTCCCACACATACAGTGCCACAATGCAGTGATGTGGGTTGCCCCACCCTGGTGAATACCTAGGGCTCCACCCCCTACTACATAACAGGTGCTCCAAGACAAAAATATAATGTCCACATGAAAGAACAGATCAAAGCTCCAAAAATAGAACTAAACAATGAAGAGATAACCAACCTATCAGATGCACAGTTCAAAACACTGGTAATCAGGATGCTCAGAATTGGTTGAGTGTGGTTGCAAAACAGAGGAAGTGAAAGCTATGAAAAGTGAAATAAAGAAAACATACAGGGAACCAACAGTGATGGGAAGGAAACTGGAATTCAAATCAACAGTTTTGGCCAGAAGGAAGAAATAAACATTCAACCAGAACACAATGAAGAAACAAGAATTCAAAAAAAAATGAGGAGAGATTTAGGAACCTCCAGGACAACTTTAAACATTCCCACATCCAAATCATAAAGGTGCCAGAAGGAGAAGACAAAGTGCAAGAAACTGAAAACTTATTTGAACAAATAATGAAGGAGAACTTCCCCAATCTGGCAAAGGAAATACACCTCCAAGTAGTCCAGGAAGCTCAGAGAGTCCCAAAGAAGGTGGACCCAAGGAAGCACACACCAAGGCACATCATAATTACATTACTCAAGATTAAACAGAAGAAGAGAATCTTAAAAGCAGCAAGAGAAAAGGGGACAGTTACCTACAAAGGAATTCCCATAAGACTATCAGCTGATTTCTCAAAAGAAAACTTACAGGCAAGAAGGGGCTAGGAAGAAGTATTGGAAGTCATGAAAGGCAAGGACCTACATCCAAGATCACTCTATCCCGCAAAGGGATAGGTGGCATTTGGAATGGAAAGGAAGATAAAGTGTTTCCCAGATAAGGTCCAGTTAAAGGAGTTCATCAACACCAAGCCCTTTTTATATGAAATGTTAAAGAGACTTATCTAAGAAAAAGAAGAAGATCCAAACTATGAACAGTAAAATGACAACAAACTCACAATTATCAACAACCGAACCTAAACAAACAAACAAACAAAAAACAAACCAACCCTAAGCAAACAACTACAACAGGAACAGAAGCACAGAAATACAGATCACATGGAGGGGAAGGGGAGGGAGAATGGGGGGAAAAGTACAGGGAATAAGAAGCATAAATGGTAGGTAGAAAATAGAGAGGGAGAGATTAAGAATAGTATGGGAAATGGAGAAGCCAAAGAACTTATATGTACAATCCATGGACATGAACTAAGGGGGTGTGGAAATGCTGGAGGGAGGGGGCTGCAGGGTGGAGGGGCTATACAGGGAGAAAAAAGTAGGACAATTGTAATAGCATAATCAATAAAATATACTTAAAAATAAAGTAATTCATTCAGTGCGGTATGAAGCAGACGTTAAAATAAAAGAGCATTCAGCAACATGGGAAAATGTCTGTGGGTGGAGCGCATTGAAAATGAGGACAGCCCCTGGCTGGTGTAGCTCAGTGGATGGAGCTCGGGCTGCGAACCAAAGCATCGCAGGTTCGATTCCCAGTCAGGGCACATGCCTGGGTTGCAGGCCACGGCCCCCAGCAAGCGCACATGGATGTTTCTCTCTCTCTCTCTTTCTCCCTCCCTTCCCTCTCTAAAAATAAATAAATAAAACCTTTAAAAACAAGAAAAAAAAGAAAATGAGGACAACAAGCTCAGTGCATTAGAGCATTGCCCCGTACACCAGAAGGGTGCAGGTTCAAGCCCCAGCTGCAACACGTATGGAAGACAACTGACATATTTCTCTCTCTCTAAACCCAATGAACATATCCTCAGGCAAGGATTTAAAAACAAATGAAGGTAAGAAAACTGTAAGCAGGTATCATGCATGCTGCTATTTTTGTGCATCATAGACTATATGAAAGCTCAAACAACTGGGGTTACTAGTGAGTTTTGTTTTGTCTCTGTATTTGAAGGTAAAAGTCCATTCCTCTTTTTTTTCATAGGAGAAAACGGGGTTACATAGAGCAATAAAAGGACAGAAGGGGGGCAAGGGGGAGCAGCAGGGGACATTGAAGCTGCTTCATAGAGCACATCGTGGGGTGCAGACTTCATCCTGTGGGTCCCCTCGAGAGGCACAGGGCGAGAGACCTTAGCGACCCACAGTAGGAATCCCTCCACGTGGCCAGATGTTCATAGAAGATGCATATTTAGAAAGATCATTCCTGCCCTGGCTGGCGTAGCTCAGTGGATTGAGCTCGGGCTGCGAACCAAAGCATCGCAGGTTCGATTCCCAGTCAGGGCACATGCCTAGGTTGCAGGCCACGGCCCCCAACAACTGCACATGGATGTATCTCTCTCTCTCTCTCTCTCTCTCTCTCTCTCTCTCTCTCTCTCTCTCCTCCCCTTCCCTCTCTAAAAATAAATAAATAAAATCTTAAAAAAAAAAAAGAAAGATCATTCCTTTGGGCCAGGTCATCCTGAACAAATTCTTTGGAAGGAACACTGTAACTGGTGCGTCGGCAGGATCGAGACAGTCAGCTTGAGTGTATTGAGTGGGCGAGTGGGCTGGGAGTGTTTCTTCTGCGATAAATACAGCACCCGGCGGCTGCAAGCTGGCTGCGGGGGGTGCGAGGGCTGGAGAGCAGGACCAACATGCTCAAGGGGATGGAAGGTGTTCGAGAGGAAATTCAAGTGCGGGGAAGAGACAGCATGCCACCTCTGCTGCCACACAGCCTCAAGTGGCTCAGTCTGTCACCAAGGGACAGGGGACCATTCAAGCCCACTCGCCTTTTGTATGGGACAGTCAAGAGAATAATCCCGAGACGAACAGCAAATGTCACGAACAAGCGAAAGTCCCGGCCTCCCTCTGACGTCCCAGGCGTGGGCCAGAGATTCCGGGGCCTGCACCCCGAGCGCCAAGCCG